CCTGCTGAATAAAGACGAGTAAAACATGTTCTGAGCTGGAGTCTTCTATTGTTAAATTCAGCCGACTGAAACTCAACCATACACTTTATTTCCTCTTTAAGTCACATGTTTCGGATCGTCATCCTGCCCCGTGACCGTATGTCCGCAGTGCCTTGTTCAGTCGCCAGACGTCCTTCAAAAGCTTTACACCTGACTGATTTTGCAGTTAGATTTTCCAAAATTCGTTAAAAAAATGGCCAAATTAATTTTTTTATTGCTTCCGTGAGAAAATAATTACTTGGTAAATTCAAGGTGACACAAAGTAGATTGAGAGTTAAACTTAGTGAATAAGTAATGAAGGAAACAAAGTAGGTTCTGTAATTTGGTTCATGGAAAATAAACCGTGAAAGGCTTCTAAAATGTCAGCCCTGTGATACACTGGTGGACCCCGCCTCAGCTGGGATTGGCTCCAGACCCCCTCCACACACAAGCACACAACAAACCCACTGGGGCCTTGACAACAGAATAAGAGCTTGGAAGAACATCTCTACTCAAGTGTTGGTGGTGATGATGTCCAATGTTCTCCCTAATTTTTCATGTGTCTGAGCATACACACAAACGATGGTTACGTACAGTAAGCTGGCGGCCCTGCTGTCCCCACCCGTGCCAACTGAAGAAAAAGTGCTGTTTTTTTTTAGGGAGGCGAGCTTAGGTCACAGTGGCAGTTATACTGCTGCTGCTACGGACCTAACTGAGGACAGCCCAGTGCAGGGCAATCTCTTCAGGACTGCGCATGCGTGAGGGATAAACCCAATAGCCACAGCTCTTAGAGGGCTACACCTATACTCATAGAAGGTTACTGTACGTAACCATCGTTCTATTTCGTATAGGCTTCGCCCTCTAAGAGCTGTGGCTAATTGGGATAAAGCGCAGCTGGATGTAGTCAATGCCTTGTTGGCACACCACCGCCCAAGAGCATTAGAAAAACATACACCACAGCTCGCTAAGTACCCCACGACAGTAGCCAAGCAGCCGCCGGGGGGGGGGGCGAGGGGCGGACAGCACAGCTCAGCCGCGTGCGTCAAAAAACATGTGCCCGTGGGCGCATCACAGTGGTGATGACCACGGAGGCACAGGTGCAATGGAGCGCATGGGGTGTGTGTGTGTGAATGAAGCAGAGCACACATCCCACCAGTTCGCAGTGCACGGCGAAAAGAACAAGCGCTCGTGGGCGCATCACCGAAAAGATGACCATTGGGGCGCATGGAGTGTGTGTGTGTGTGTGTGTGTGTGTGTGTGAGTGTAGGAGGGCACACACCACACACCACACCAGCGCACAGCGATCAGACCGGTTGGAGTTTGGCTGTTCATTTTGCCACCTGAGTGAGTGACCCAGGGTCAGCGCTCAGCAGTGGTGGCGCATTCACATGACACGACAGGGAAGGCGCTCACCGTCATGCGCGACACTCAGGGCCGAGTGAGCCAGTGAGAACTTGGACGTATCCCGGAGGTAAAAACGGGTTAAGGGACAAGGGGAAGCCCAGGAGGCTGCCGTGCAGATACCTTCCACAGCCATGGAAGGGCAGTGGAGGACGCGATGGCTCGCGTAGAATGGGCTCTGATGCCAGGCGGGGGGTCGTTCCCGGCCGATATGTAAGCCTGTGTAATAGCTTCACACAGCCAGTGAGACAGCCGTTGTTTTGTTAAAGGCTGCCCAAGAGAGCTGCTCCTGTAATGCACAAACAGCTGTTGTGTCTGCCTGACAGCTGCCATGCGCCCCACATAATGGGACAAAGCACGCACTGGGCAGAGGGCGTGGAGTTTCCTCTCTGCCCCGTCTCTGTGAGGAGGAGGGAAGAACCCATCCAGAGAAATAACTCTGGATGGGTAAGAGGATGAGATAATTTTAGGTGCATACGCGGGGTTCGGTCTGAGAATGGCCGTGCTATCGTCTCCACCGATAAGGAGGCACACCGGTGAGACAGTGCACACAGATCACCCACACGCTTGGCCGAAGTCAAGGCTAGGAGGAGCGCTGTTTTCAGGGAGAGATGTTTGAGAGAGATGTGTGCCATGGCCTCAAAAGGAGGCCCGCTGAGTGCGTGTAAAACCAGAGGCAGATTCCACTGTGGCACTGTTGTGCACATCACAGGTCTCAGTCTGCCCACACCCCTGAGAAAAACGTTTTACCAGTGGGTGTGTAAATACGGTCCTCTCGTCAAAATCTTCATGGCATGATGAGATGGCAGCGGCATACACTTTAAAGGTAGACAGAGCCAGGGTCTGTAGAAACGTCAGCCCCTCAGCCACCGGGCAGGAGGTCGGAGCTGTACCTTTCTCCATGCACCATCGCTGAAAAGCTGACCACTTTGCAGCATAAGACGCCATTGTTGACTGAGCTCTGGCATACTGAATAGTGCGC